GCAGCAGCAGTAGCAGCACCAGTAGCAGTAGCAGTAGCAGCAGTACAAAAATAAAAAAGAAACGTACCGAAGGATGTATCACACTTTACCAATATAGTGCATGACAACCAAAGAATGCCTCCGATTATTGAGGCCCTTGTATTGAGCACACAGTCAGTCTTGAGATCGCAGCCCCTCTTGCTTGAAGCTGCCAATTAGCGCGCTGCACACCTCGACAAATACTCAGCCAATCTAACCTACAGAGTCAAACAAGGATGCTTTTGGTTCAGTAGCTCATGGTGACCTGTTGGGGTGTGACTGAGGGTCAGGAGTTGGACGAATTGTAAAAGAAACCAAAGCCTTGCACTCGACAAGCCGTACTCTAAATAGGCTTCAGTTCGCCCTAAGGCCAACATTGGACACTGAATCTTTCAGCTAAACATAGGAAAAATGGGAAGCCTCACTAGAACACGCGCAGGGCCAGCTTGCTGGAGGCCGTTGATGAATGTGTACATCGTGTTACGTATGTAATTCATTGTCTCCGACAGCATTTGGTGTCATCCCTTCTCGGCAATACTAAACAGGGGCAGTGGGCCCCCCGCCCCCCAAATAGGAAATCGAAAAGTGTTCCACACGGTTCGTAAAACATGGGGTGTTGTTAATCACTACTGTCATCTCTGGGGTACAACGACAGCACTACTTAAGAAAGCATGGGCATAAGAAAGTGAGAGCATGTGACGTGGCAATGCAATTGGCCATTCGACAGTGAGAAACCAATGGGGCTCAAACCATGCGGCCGAAAATGCCAGAGTGTAAGCCCATGTCGAATTGTCGGAGGGCTTCCGAAAGAATCCCAGGCCAGTAGGGAAATTCTTGTTGAGAATAAGAAACGAGCCCTCAGAACTTTCGTTCTCATGAGAAAAGGAATAAGAAAACGAGCCCTCAGCATTTTCTCGTTATTGTTACTAAAGTCGTTCCAATTACCTTAAGGCCAGTCCATGTTGAGCCTACGGGTGCGAAATAGGAAAGCCAGCCC